GTGTGTCCAACACTATAAACTGTACTGTCCATTTCCCATTCCACGTTAAAGAGAACTACCAACTATAGTATTGCTCAAAATACAGACGGGAACCCAGTTTGCAGTCTACTAAAACTTTTGATGCATGGAGTTTTTGTTTCTTTTTAAGTTTTAAACACACAACATCCTTTATATGTAGAAAAGTTTAGAGTAAAATGTGGAGGAGAACTGGAGCTGGCCATTATGGAGCACGATCAATCCTAGTGCTTGGAAACTGTCTAAACTTTATACAATCCCAGTGCTTGGAAACGTTCTACAATCCCAGTGCTTGGAAACTTTCTACAATCCCAGTGCTTGCTTGGAAACGTTCTAAATCCCGAAACTTTCTACAATCCCAGTGTTTGAAACCTTCTTCCCAGTGGAAACTTTCTACAATCCCAGTGCTTGGAAATGTTCTACAATCCCTGTGCTTGGAAACTTTCTACAATCCCAGTGCTTGGAAACTTTCTACAATCCCACTTGGAAACGTTCTACAATCCCAGTGCTTGGAAACGTTCTACAATCCCAGTGCTTGGAAACGTTCTACAATCCAGTGTTTGCTTGGAAATGTTCTACAATCCCTGTGCTTGGAAACTTTCTACAATCCCAGTGCTTGGAAACTTTCTACAATCCCAGTGCTTGGAAACGTTCTACAATCCCAGTGCTTGGAAACGTTCTACAATCCCAGTGCTTGGAAACATTCTACAATCCTAGTGTTTGGTAACTTTCTACAATCCTAGTATTTGGAAATGTTCTACAATCCCTGTGCTTGGAAACTTTCTATAATCCCAGTGCTTGGAAATGTTCTACAATCCCTGTGCTTGGAAACTTTCTATAATCCCAGTGCTTGGAAACTTTCTATAATCCCAGTGCTTGGAAACTTTCTACAATCCCAGTGCTTGGAAACATTCTACAATCCTAGTGTTTGGAAACTTTCTACAATCCTAGTGTTTGGAAACCTTCTACAATCCTAGTGCTTGGAAACCTTCTACAATCCCAGTGCTTGGAAACTTTCTACAATCTCAGTGCTTGGAAACCTTCTACAATCCTAGAGCTTGGAAACTTTCTACAATCCCAGTGCTTGGAAACCTTCTACAATCCTAGTGCTTGGAAACTTTTTCTGGGAGCGTGGCCTCTCCATAGAGTCACTTTACAAAGCTGGAATAACAGGGTGTCCATAGCGGATTACATATGTAGTAGTTCCTACAGGTTAGAAGTAGTTGCACAATCAATAGCTTGTCTGTACAACAGCATTGCAAAGGAAACCTTTTTTTATGCCAGTTGCAGCACAGAAATGTACAGCTGGTATTACGTGTGAGTACTTATCCCCGAGGAAGGCACACCCAACCACAGGTACCGGTTCCTCCTGCACTAGGATTTCGGACACTTTATATAAGAGCTGTGGTAAGACTTAATTTCCATTCTTTCTGTGCCAGCTTGTGAACGTCAATAACATTCCTCATTTGTTTGTTATAATGAGATTCTGGGGGAGCGAGATATAAGGTAAGTGGAATGCTTTCACAGGAGCCTTGAGCAAAGATGAACATTTCACCTTGCAATGCTGGAAGAGCCCCACTACAAGGGTAGTATTTTTACACTTACCTGGAGTTCAGCTTTAATGTGTCTGAAAGGAGAAGAGTTCGAGTTACCAAAAGCCCTGATCAGAAGGTTCTGGTCATTCCGCTATACTGCACTGATGCAAAAGGGTTGATTTACTAAAGGCAAATAGACTGTGCACTTTGCAAAGTGCAGATGCACACAGCAACAGCTGCTGCCCCCGAGCTTAGTAAATGAGCAGAAGCTCTGCTACCTTCCATCATCCAATCATGCGCAAGCAAAAATGATGTTTTTTTTCCCTTGCATGTGATTTTATTATTATTATTATTATACAGTATTTATAAAGCACCAATAGTTCGCTCAGCGCTGTACATTACAAAGGGGAACAGAACATGTGACAGAACAATACCAATACAATGCAAAACATGAGGGGATCGAGGGCCCTGCTCTTTGGAGCTTACAATCTAGGAGGGAGGGGATGGTGGCACAGGAGGAGATAGCTGTGGGGGATGGAGTGGTAGGAAGAGTGGAGGAGGTCGGCAGGTTAGCAGGGGGTAGGGTAGGCTTCCCTGAAGAGATGGGTTTTCAGTGGTGCGCCTAAAGGAGAGGAGAGTAGGTGATAATCTGATGGGTTGGGGCAGGGAGTTCCAGAGGATGGGTGACACCCTGGAGAAGTCCTGGAGGCGGGCATGGGAGGAGGAGACCAGGGAACTAGAGAGAAGGAGGTCTTGTGAGGAGCGGAGTGTGCGTGCTGGGCGGTACTTGGATATTAGGTCAGTGATGTAGTTCGGGGCAGTATGGTGGACAGCTTTGTACGTCAGCGTTAGGATTTTGTGATTGGGTATTCTTTGCAAAGTGAAGCTTAACCTCATTTACTAAGCTGTGGAGCAACTGCACTTTGCAAAGTGCACAGTCTATTTGCCTTTAGTAAATCAACCCCAAAGTCTTGTGTCCCTACAGATAACACAGGCAGCTCATTAAAGCTGGCCATACATTATACAATTTTCTTGAGACTTTTGCTTTAGATTTACCAAAAACCATATAATAGGAGGTCAAACCTAAACAACACTTTCAATTGTATCCAATTAGGCCCTTGCGCTACATAGTTGAAGGTAAATCTAAAGGAAATTGGGCAGAAATTGTAAGAAAATTGAAAATTGTAATTGTAAGAAAATTGTATAGTGTATGGCCAGCCTAAGTCTGGACATACACTATACAATTTTCTTTAAATTTTCTGTCCAATTTCTGCCCAATTTCCTTTAGATTTACCTTCAACTATGTAGCGCAAGGGCCTGCCTAATTGGATACAACTGAAAGTGTTGTTTAGGTTTGACCTCCTATTATATGGTTTTTGGTAAATCTAAAGAAAAAATTTCAAGAAAATTGTATATTGTATGGCCAGTCTTACTCAAAGTAAAAGTTTGAGGTCTTCTTGATAGGACACCCTTCTCTCCCCAATACCTGCCTTCTGTTTGCTTCCCCATCACCCATTCATTTCTCAACACCACTAGGTAATTCTATATATGGAGGAATATTACCTTTCTCCCTTCCAAGATGCAGCTGTGTGGGCCTCAGCAGTCCCTGGACAGTTTGATTAGCAAGGGTAAGCACTCTAAGCCCATAGGAGGCTCTGATGCTTTGCTTCATACCAGGGGCGGATTGACAACTCATGGGGCCCCCGGGCAATAGGAGATCATGGGGCCCCTGTGTCCTTGCCCAAACTCAAAAAGCCTATGAAAAAGGTACCAGGGGCATCTCATGGGGCCCCCTACTGACCCCGGCCCTTGGGCAGTGCCCGAGTTTCCAAATGGTCAGTCCGCCCCTGGTCACTGCTGCTCCTTCTCCTTAGACTGGTGACTGGTCTTGTCTCCGCCCCCTCCTGAAGTTTTTGTAGACAGTCTGTAGTGGGTGGGGCCTACTGAGTCCCTCCAGCGGCTCTGCTCTCTGCACAGACTATGTAGAGAACAGTGATGAAGTCACTGCTACTTTTATTATGTAATAATTGTGTTGACTTAAAAAACTTGCATGTAAAACCACAAAAAATAAGTATTTAAAATTGTTACTTGCAGAGTTTGCTTTTTAATAAATTATTTTTTAATTCTCTTGAAATGCATTTTTTTTTAACTTGCTAGAAAATTTTACTACTCCAGGAGAATCAATTCCTTAGCACACTCCCCCCCCCTTCCTTACATATCATAGCCCTCTTCTCTTTTGGGAGTTTCTAATTACTTACAGTATGTGCTGGCCCAGCTGCTCTCCTTTCACCCTCCCTAAACCTTTTATCTAGCTGCTGGGGAGGAACAAGGGGAACACTATAGAGTGCCGCTTAATCTGTGGTGGTTTAATCTGCTGAGGCTGCTGACATCACATTCAAGATGCAATGCCCAGCAATCTCAGACATTTGGGGTGTCTTTAAAAGGGAGGATTTACAGGGATATAACCTGCATAAAAACATATTAAATGCTCCTAATCTCATGGGAAGATTTTTGTTGAAATAGATGGTTTGACAACAGGGCTTTTTTAAATTTCCACATACATACAGTATGTCAATTTTTCATTCTTTTAGATGAAACAGAAAAGAATTGCAATAAAAAACAGGGAATACAATTGTTTGGACTAAGGAAAACTGAAAACAATCTGAAAAAATGATTTACAGTTTGAAGGATCATCATAAGTGGTTAATTACCATTATTTCTTTGAAAAATTGGTGTCAGTTAATATGATGGGAACATTTTGAAAATAAATTTAAAAAGGGATCTATGGGACTTAATTGTAATGATAGTATTAATTTTGCTATCCTCAGATAATCTACTTACAACAGGAAAAAAAATCATCCATCTATGGCCACCCCTAGACATCCAACTTCACCTAGCAGCTATACTTGTAGTCTACTGGTAAATTAAAATGTTTTTGTGCTCTCTTGCCAGCCATAGGAATAATCGGGGAGAAAAAAGCTCACATTCAGAGTTTAGGTGCTTTGTGGACTCTTGTGGACATTGCTGGAGAAGGACTTTGACACAATTGACTCTTCCTGTAGCTTTCCATCCTTGAAGACCATGGCTGCTATAGGTGTTGGGATTATACTGCTCTGTTCGCTGGCAAGTGGTTTTGCTTACCTGTTGGGAAATCCAGAATGTCAACTAATAGATGTATCAACGTCATGTGGAAAGGTTCGTGGTCATCACTGTGATAATGTTTATATGTTTAAAGGAATTCCTTATGCCAATCCCCCCACTGGGCCATTGCGTTGGAGGCCTCCTGTGGAGCCCACCTGCTGGAATGACGCTCTTATTGCCACAGAGTTCAAGTCTATGTGTGCCCAAGTGAGGCCATTGAGTGACACGGGAACAGTGATGGGCTCAGAAGATTGCCTGTATGTCAATGTGTGGACACCATCACTGGATTATGAAGCCAAACTGCCAGTCATGGTTTGGATCCATGGAGGTTACCTTTTAATTGCCAGTGGGTCAGAGCCTGGCTACTGTCCCAATGAAGACCTAGTAAGAGACAGCCATATTGTCCATGTCAGCTTTAACTACCGTCTTAATGCATTTGGATTCCTAGCTTTGGCTGAACTCCGAGAAGGATCTCCCACCAACACCTCTGGTAACTACAACACAGAGCATGCACAGATCATTTATTTGTGACTATTAAAATTACAACAGATTTTCTCTTTAAAAGCTCTAATCTTTAAAAGCCAAGGTTTCCTCAATGCCATTTTGATTGCTCATTGCCTCCTGTCAGTATAAGATGCAGTTATTGTGGAGCCATCAGCTTTTATGCATAATGACTGCTTATATTTAGTGTGCAATTTTCTCTAAAATATCCACATCAGTGGATATTCCAGTATACATTGGGTTCTGTCAGTTCCAGTCTAAATTGTACTTTGCCAGCATTACCCTAGCACCTTGTTCTGGGAAGTCTGGTTTCAATGGTGCACAGGTAGGGCCACAGACCCCTGAGTGATGGTTGCCAAGCCACTGACCAAACATTTCAGTTTATGCACAGGTAATTCTAGGGCAGGGGTCTGCAACCTTTAAGACATAAAGAGCCACTTGGACCCGTTTCCGAGAGGGAAAAAAAGACTGGGAGCCGCAAAACCATTGCAACATTTAAAACAAATCCGACACTGCATATATTGCAAAAAGCGCTCTGGTCATGAAGGGGGTTTAAGGGCCCAGTAAGCAAAGGGTTAATCAGGGCCACAGTGTATCGTCATAATCACAATCATAGCCTTAGGTCAGTGGTGGGCAACCTTTTTTTTTCAACTGAGCCAAATCTCGCCAAAACCACGATTGAAATTTATTTTGAGAGTCACATTTTTAAAACTGAAAATACATCCCCGATATAGTAATTCATCCCCCATAGTAATTCATCCCCCATAGTAATTCATCCCCCATATAGTAATTCATCCCCCATAGTAATTCATCCCCCATAGTAATTCATCCCCCATAGTAATTCATACCCCATATAGTAATTCATCCCCCATAGTAATTCATCCCCCATATAGTAATTCATCCCCAATATAGTAATTCATCCCCCATAGTAATTCTTCCCCCACATAGTAATTCATCCCCCATAGTAATTAATCCCCCATATAGTAATTCATCCCCCATAGTAATTCATCCCCCACATAGTAATTCATCCCCCATAGTAATTAATCCCCCATATAGTATTTCATCCCCCATAGTAATTCATCCCCCACATAGTAATTCATCCCCCATAGTAATTAATCCCCCATATAGTAATTCATCCCCCATAGTAATTCATCCCCCATATAGTAATTCATCCCCCATAGTAATTCATCCCCCACATAGTAATTCATCCCCCATAGTAATTAATCCCCCATATAGTAATACATCCCCCATATAGTAATTCATCCCCCATATAGTAATTCATCCCCCATAGTAATTCATCCCCCACATAGTAATTCATCCCCCATATAGTAATTAATCCCCCATATAGTAATTCATCCCCCATATAGTAATTCGTCCCCCATATAGTAATTCATCCCCCATATAGTAATTCATCCCCCCTATAGTAATTCATCCCCCCTATAGTAATTCATTCCCCATATTGTGTCAATTCACTTACCTTTGCTCCGCGCGTTCCTCTCGCCGTGTTCCCGCGCCGTTCCGGTCTTCAGGGCGGACTGTGAGAGGAGAGGAGTTTGTCACGCTGCCCCGCCTACATCCTGACAGCCAATGTTTGCCACGCTCCGCAGGCCGGATTAAAAGGTCCGCCGGGCCGTAGTTTGCCCATTGCTGGGCTAGCTGCAGAGTCCTGACTTTTGGGGCGGCCGCCCGAGAGGAGGGAGGGGAGCGGGCGCCCGGCACACAGAAGAGCCGCATTGAAGTGTGTAAATAGCCGCGGCTTGCCGACCACTGAGCTACGGCAACCCTATTGCCTGTCACCTGGTGGGCAGTGTGCTCCGGAGCCGTAGCAAAGGTAAAAAAGAGCCGCATGCGGCTCTGGAGCCGCGGGTTGCCGACACCCGTTCTAGGGGCTTGAAGACAGGCTTGAGCCATGTACACCAGATATTATATTTTAATTAAAAGACTAAGGGGGTTATTTACTAAAACTGAAGCATGCAAATTCTAGGGCAGCTCTGCACAGAAACTACTCAGCCTCCAGGTTTTATTGCCAAAACATAATTGAACAAGCTGAAGTTCGAAGCTGATTGACTACCATGCACAGGTGTACCAAATTTTGAGTGCACCAATTTTAGTAAATCTCCCCCTAAGTATATCTAAAGCCTTTTTAAACTTTTGGATAGACAAGGGAAGGGTCAACACATATCTAAACCCCAAAAGAAAAATTGTATATATTGTGTCTTACCAGTCCTTAGACATGGTGGCTAAATTGGATTTAATTGTTTGGACTGAGAACAGGTTCCCCAAATACAGGAAATACCTGTTCACTATGCCGGAATGCAGTGTCCTGGTCACTTCTGAAAAAAAGCACAAAGAACCTTAACTTTATTGTGTAAACTACTAGTCCCATCAATCTACCATGTGCAGTAATGGAGATGAACAAAGGCAGACATATTTAAAGCTCTCTCCATAGATACAGTGGAGAAAAACTGTAGTCATGAACGGGCAGGAAGGGTGCTATTTTCAGGAGTGGCAATAAAAGAAAACAAAAAAGGCAGAAAATTTGGCAAATGCAGCCATGTCCTCTAAAGACTAGCAAGTTTCAATATAAAACTTTTTTTCATGTTTATGGGTATGGAATTTAAAACACCGCTCAAATTTTTTATTTTCTTGCTATTGGAAGATTTCCATTCATTGCTTGGCTCCAGACATAATGGGAAGTAAGATAAAATCTCTCCAAAGGAAATTCTCTTAGTTGTCACCAGCTAAACAAAATATTTTTTTTTTCTGGAAACTGGCAAGAATCTAATAAAATAATTTAAATAGAACAAATTGTATATGAATGTTAAGGGGGGCTTTGTATTGCATGGCTAAGGGGAGCATTTTTCAGGGTTGTGACGGGAGTCACTTTGGGTGGGGGACCCATGGAACACAGTTCACTTTGGAGAGGTCTGGAGACCCCTGTCTCAGCTCCCTATATCCCTCCTATGTGTAAGTCACCCTGTGTCTGTTAGGGGTACAGGGTGATCTGTCCTAATATTGGGGTGGGGGTTGTTGATTGTTTAATGCCATGTGGTTGCGTCCTATTTTTCTATTGTGTGTCTTGCTTGGGAACAAACTATTATGGGATGTGTTTATGTGTATTGGCTTGTTGGGGGGGGGGTCTCCAGCAGCCCTCCCTCCTGATGGGACTGTCTGCTGGTGTGTCTCTTGTTACTAAATGTAGATTGCCCCACCCTGTGTCATTATGCAGGGAGGGGGTATTGTCCCCTTGAGTGTATATATCTTGCATCTGAGTTAAAATAAACTAGTCTACCTCCTGGTTTACTTCAAGATTGGTGTCATCTAGTCTTGTATGGTCAGCGGTGGTGTCTGTTGTCAGTGTTCTGATGGGGAAGCGGTAGTCTAACAGAAAAATCCTAGCGCAGACCGGGGTCGGTTCCGTTACAAGGGTCCTATGAAAGTGTCAAGATCCAATGAGGCTCTGCAATGCAAATAGAGAATTAACCTAGGAAGTTGTTACTCCCGCCACCCATGCCCTACAATCGTCCTTAAGGGGTTCATTCACACTTGTGGCAGATTTTGCTTCCGCTCTGAAAAGAAATCCATGGTGGATAGTTTTTCATAAGCTGGTTGACAGACAGAGGCGAGGCGATGTGTCACCTCCTCATTGCCTGTTTAACTCTGAAAATCCCATATCACCGCACTGCATGCTGGTCACAGGGCTACCTTGTTCACTTGAATGGATTATGTTTGGCAGCAGTTTTGCCCTCCAAACATGACAAGGGGTATCATTTTTGCCGAGGTCATGGCATGTGTGCAGCCTTGCATGTTCAGGCCTGTACAAGTAACCTGGAGACAGGGAATGGGGGTGGAGCCACCGCACCCTCCACCCAAACCTAGATCCCCACCCAGCTTTGCACCCGGGCCCTGGAGGCCTAACGCACTGCTTTCTCCTTTAGGTCAGTGGGGGGCTCAACTGCCAGTTTTCACTGCCCTTCGGTTGCCTGTGTGTACGAGGCCTAAGTGTGATGAGTGGCTACACTGTTCAATAGTAAGGCATAGAAAATAGGAAGGAGCAGGAAAAACATGGACTTCCTAGATGAAGGCACAATATGCACATTACATCTGTATTATTATTCCCTTCAGCACAATGTTGTTAATTCAGCTTTGTACATTCCATTAGGGCTGGGCTGTGTACTTAGACAAAATTAATAAAGATAAGCCCTGAGCAAACATTTAAATGCACAGAATAAATATATATAAAAGGGAGATGTTTACCTTCCAAAGGGTTTGCGTTTAAAGTAGAACTAAAAAGGAAAACCTTTTTTCCCCCCATTCCTGTCCCATTGCCAAAAGAGGAAGTAAGCAGAAATCCTCCAAAGTTAGGAAATCCCTGGGTCCCCTCTATTTCTTTTCTGGTGACGATCCAAAATTGTAGCTTTTTTCCCCACCTTCAGTTCAAGTGCAATGATCAACAGTATTATCTCATTTAAAATGAAAACAAAATGGCTTTACATACTTTAGTTACTTTACATAAAGCCTATTTACTCATAATACTTTGAGAGCAAAGGGTTCTAGTAAGCACCAGTTCATAAGATCTTTTCTGGTTTCAGGCGTAGCCGATTGTTTTGGTGCACAGAATATTTAAATAAACACACACACACACATATATATATATATATACACACACATACAGTATATACATATACACACACAGTGGGTAAAAGCTATTGAACACATCACCATTTTTCTAGGTAAATATATTTGTAGAGGTGCTATTGACATGAAAATTTCACCACGTTGGTAACAACTCATGCAATCCATACATACAAAGAAACCAAAACAAATAAGTTCAGAAATTACGTTATGTGTAATAAAATGGAATGACACAGGGAAAACGTATTCAGCACGCTAACTGCAATTTATGGAATAGTTTGCACAAAATCCTTTGTTGGTACTGATAGCTCCAAGACACCGCCTGTATGGAGAAACTAGTGGCATGCATTGCTCAGGTGTCGGTTTGGCCCATTTTCCATACAGTCTTCAAACCTTGAAGGCTCCGTGGGTCTCTTCTATGAACTCTGATCTTTAGTTCTTTCCATAAATTTTCTATTGGATTCAAGTCTATTGGCTTGGCCATTCTAGCAGCTTTATTTTCTTTGTTTGAAACCAGTTGAGAGTTTCCTTGGCTGTGTGTTTGGGATCATTTGTCTTTCTGAAATGTCCACCCTTCATCTTCATCATCCTGGTAGATGGCAGCAGATTTTTATCAAGAATGTCTTGGTACATTTTTTCATTCATCTTTCCTTCAATGAAATTAAGTTTGCCAGTACCATATGCTGAAAAACAGCCCCACACCATCATGTTCCCACCTCTAAACCTCACTGTTGGTATGGTGTTTTGGGGTGATGTGCAGTGCCATATGACCTCCAAACATGGTGTGTATTGTGGCATCCAAAGAGTTCAACTTTGGTGTCATCTGACCAGACTATATTCCCCCAGTATTTCACAGGCTTGTCTAAATGTTGTGCAGCAAACTTTAAATGAGCTTCAACTGCTTTTTCTTCCACAATGGAGTCTTGTGTAGTGAGCGTGCATACAGGTCATGGAAGTTGAGTGCATTACTTATTGTTTTCTTTGAAACAATTGTACCTGCTAGTTCCAGGTCTTTCTGAAGTTCTCCACAAGTGGTCCTTGGCACTTGGACTACTCTTCTGAGAATTCTTTTCACTCCTCTGTCAGAAATCTTGTGAAGAGCACCTGGTCATTGTCGGTTTATGGTGAAATTATGTTCTTTCCACTTCTGGATTATGGCCCCAACTGTGCTCACTGGAACATTCAGAAATGTAGATATCCTTCTGTAACCAATGCCATCAATATGTTTGCTACAATAAGGTTGCAAAGGTCTTGAGAGAGCTGTTTGCTTTAACCCATCATGAGATGTGACACCTTGGTAATGAGACACCTTTTTATAGGCCAGCAATTGAAACTGAAGTAGCTGATATTAACTTGCTCTGACAAGGGGCAGGGTTGCTTTCTGATTACTGATAGATTTCAGCTGGTGTCTTGGCTTTCCATGTGTTTTTGCACCTCCCTTTTTTCATGTCTTCAATACCTTATCCCTGTGTCATTCCATTTTATTACTCAAATTAATTTCTGAACTTATTTGTTTTGGTTTTTTGGTATGGTGTGTGGATTTTATGGGTTGTTACCGACATGTGGTGAAAAGTTCATGTCAACAGTAGAACTATAGTTACCTAAATGGTCATGTGTTCAATACTTAAGGTGGGAATATAGGATTAGAAAATCAACCGATCGTTCATCCGATGACCAAGAGGCGTTCGTTTATTGGTCGAAATCGTGGCCCACATTAACCAATCTAAAAACATTGTTCATCGGGCAATATGTAGTATTGATGTCTTCCGTACAAGTGGAAGTGATGCGGTGTGCGTCTGACCTTGTAGCCACGCCCTTCCGGCCAGAACGAGCGATAAACACAACAATTACCAGCAATGAGTATAATATCGTTTATTACATGATCTATATACATAAATAGTGATACATAAAATATAATATGCAGAATTCTGGTGTCATCATCTCATTAGGCCAATCTACTTTTAACATTTGGATTTTTCGTTCGTGTTTACGAAGATTTCTTGGACATAAATATCCGGGTCATCTTCTGTTTCCTCTCATGCGTGATAGCGCTTGATAGATTTTTTTCGTACGACCGTCATACCACCGCATAGAAAAATCGGTCGTTCGTATGCGAAATTACATTTTTCACTGGATATTTTCCTTTACAATATTGTTAGCGGTTAAAACATCCTGCTCATCAACGAAGAGAAAATTGTTCCATCAGTGGTTCCGCTAAATGTTTCGTACGATTTTCTTATCATGTGTATGGGGCATTATGTTACCTGCTGTATATAATTTGTGCTACCTTTCTTCCTAATTGTAAATTTTTACAGTAGAGAACAACTGAACTTATAAAGACTGGAGCAAATAAATAACTGGGTTCTTAAGGAAGACACTTTACCTTATGCCACTTCTGCATATGTGTATATGTACATTTTTGTTGAACTTTACGTAGCATACAACACATACAAAAACAGTAAAACAGAAAATAACTTCAAAAGAAGTCAGCAGCCTCGCAGGGATATGTGTGTTTGGATGCTATGTAATGTTTGTGTCTGTATTTTTTTTTCGTTTTCTGAATTATGCCATAGGTCAGTTATTATTTTCACACTCAACAGGCTCCTAATGCTGAGTTCCAGGGAAACACCTGAATACCCATTTAAAATACGAAATTTATGGCAGATGTTGTACCTGATGGTAGATGGTAGGCAATGAGCCCTTTCACCTGTCCCTGTGGTGCAACAGTAAGCTCTCACTGTAGAAAGAGCCCCCTCTTGCTGTCATGTGCCTCCAATGATCAGCAGTGGGAAGAAGAGGGTGAGAGCACACTCCGGTCTGCCTGCTGCAGCAGTACAAATGCACACAATATGAATGCACAGTGACAGAGCAGCAGGTGGGTGATGAGATCATCTCTCTGACATGTCTATTAGGCAAACCTGATTGGCTCCCAGTTCAACTTCTCCCCCCTCCACGTCTGAGTGCTGCTTTGCAGAGGCAAACAGTAAGTAAAATGAAGGTACTGAAAGTAGTTGCATTTAAAAATACATGTAAATTATTTAAAAAAACATAATTGCATTAATTGATATTTTTTTTGTATCTTGAGTTTACTTTAGGCACACGAGAATAATCTATTTCTCAATCATTGACTTACAGGAAATTATGGATTAATGGATCAGATGGCTGCCCTAAAATGGGTACAGAAGAACATCCAATATTTTGGAGGTGACCCAAACAAGGTGACCATTTATGGCCAAAGCTCAGGTGAGAAGAGTGTGCTAATATTAAATCATTGCCATAATGAACAGTGTGGAGTTCTCTCCTATATTTACTCCCTGTATTCCAGGAACTTACAAACACATCTCTCCACTTTATACAAAAACATACATACACACACAGGGAGGCCTATGCAGTCAGAAGCCAATTCACCTTTCTTCACAGGGGCGTCCCTAGGGCTGGTGTCACCCGGTGCGGTAACACTTGGCGACACCCCCTCCAACGATCCCGCAGAATGGATCGGATCTGCGGATTGAGTATAATGGAACGGACTCAGATCCTGCGGGGATTGTCGGCATGCAACCTATACGGGGTGACACCGGACCCGCTCCACGAAAAGGTAAGTTGTAAAGAAAGCCAACAATCCCCGCAGGAAGGATCGGATTCATCCTGTGGGGATCGTCGGCTTGCGTTACAACTTTCCTTTTCATGGAGCGGGTCCGGTGTCACCCTGTGCGGCACGCACACCCCCTCACCTGCCTCGGGATGCCACTGATTGTGGGAGAAAACATATAAACATAACAAGGAAAAAAAGGGGTAAATCCATGGAAATCAGACCCTGGGTGTCAGTACTATAAGCCCCCGGTCACATCAGGTACAATTTGTCATGCAATTTGCATGCCAGGCGACTTGCAAATCGTATGCCAAGTTGTACCCTATTGTCCACAATTACAGTGGCCAAACTGGTGCGGTTCCAAGTCAGAGCCGCACCGATTACTAAAGTGGTAAATGCAGTACTCTTCATGCGATTTGCATAGACATCTGTGTCAGATGTCTTGCAAATTGCACTTGAAATCGGCAGGTCACCCGACTTTGAAGTGACTTCACTGTAAGTCGCACGATTTCAAAGTTGGGCTTGATGTGAACGGGGGCTAAGGGCACAATAGCGACGAGGTCCACTTCGACACAATGCGGTCACGTATATTGTTGTAGACATTTTTTATATCATTGTGAGCGTATGTGTTAGGGGCATTGTTGCATAAAAGCATCTAGTGACAATGGTCCTTTAAAACTGGACATTGTATTATTATTATTATTATGAATACACTATTGGTTAGAGTAAAGCAGATACCATAATGTACCATATGTAGCTATATTTTGTTTCTGGCCATCCTCATATGAATGTTCTTATTAATGAAGGAGGGACTTCAGTGTGGACTATGATGGTGTCCCCTTTGGCCAAGGGTCTTTTTCATCGTGCCATTGATATCAGTGGATCCTCTGTGTTTAAGGCCACTATGGCTGAAGCAGAAAATGACAACTTGGTCTTTCTGAAGAAGACAGGCTGCAAAGACGCTGAGTGTTTGAGGCAGCTGACCGTGACCAAGATCCTTCAAGTAAGTGTCTCCCACAGTCAATGAGAAGAAAGGCTTACTTTTTTTTATTGCATTTATCTCATTGTCCCAATTATGGTGGCCCATAATTTTGATTGGTGAGATATACCATATTGCCAAAAGTTTGTGGGACACCTAATCATCACACCTACTATATGGCAAACATTAGTAAACCCCCTACCCCCGGAGAAAGGTAATACTACAACATAAACAGACATTTAGACTGTGCGTCTCTAACCTTGTGGCTAAATATATGCAAGACCATTGTCTGTTCCAGCATGACTGTTCATATATACATGGTTTGTGGAGTTTGGTTTGTAGGGACAGCAGAGACTTTCACAGAACTATGACCCCAGTGCTATTTACCACCTTTGGAATGACTTGGAATGCAGATTGTGAGTCAGGCCTTCTCATTCAAGATCAGTACCCAAACTGACAAATGCTTTTTTTGGCTAAATGGCACAAATTCCCACAGATGCATTTTTAAATATTTTAAAAAATCCTCCCAGAAGTGTAGAAAAGGCTATAGCCACAATGGGGAAGTGGAGACAGGATGGGGGGGATAGTGCAACCATGGTTTTAGAATGGGATATTCTACAAGCTTGTATAGGTGTGATGGTTGGGTGTCCACAAACTTTGGCAATGAAGCGTATAATTGCTTTTTTGGCTTTTTATAGTCAGCAGTGGTATTGATATGCTTTGCTAATAATGGTAATAATCTTAGCTAATCCTGAAGAATTTCCCTAACCTAGCCTTTTCTATTCTATGTAGTTCAAAGGTGCCCTTTTCAGTATAATACAAGCAACACATACAGGAGCATAAACATTGAGAGTTTAATCTCATATAAAACAGCTCATTTTTGGTAATGTAACTTTTTTTGAGTGATATATTGTTGCCTGTGTTATTTCTAGTCTATCCCTTGGGTGGAATATCCAGCATGGGCAGCAGAAGACTTGTGTGACTTGCCACAAAAAGGAAAACATGTTGGCCCATTGCCTGTAGTGGATGGATATGTGGTGCCATTTGCCCCTCTGGATATATGGAAGGAGAAGAAAGAGGGCTATAGTGATGTACCATATGTGATCGGCACCACCCTGCAAGAAACTGAGTTTGCGTAAGATGATTACTATCTCTTGAATATAGCGACAAGGTCCAGGAAAGGATTAGGTTCCTCTAGGCTGGGAGGCAAAACCCAGCAATGTGTCTTTGGGTGTAGGTTTATACCAATTTGTAGAACATTATTACCCCCCCCCCCCCACATTGGTGCCTGCACAGTTTGTTAGCAAGAGTCGTATCTCAATTTATTGTTATCAACTGGCATTCCCATGTACATGCAACACAGCCAGAGCACATTTTAAATGACATAAAGCTACTCGCACCCCCTTCCTGCTCGCTTGACAGCACTGGTGATTGGCAGTTGGCTACTTAGGGTGCTCAGTGCTGTGGACAAGGAGAGAGTCCCTGTGTGAGTTGTGACTTAGAGCCTAGGCTACACAGGACTTTTCCTCAATCCAGACAGTTACATGGAGCAGAGAGAGGTCAAAAGATAAAATATAATAGGGACCTGTTTATTTTGCCCTGCACAAGTTGATTAAACCAGGCTGATTGAGTTTTGGTCAACTTTGAAAATCTGGAACAATTATCTGTGTCTACATAACTTCAGACATTGCAAACTATTTTGTTTCTACGGACCTTTATCTAGTGGACACCTGGTTCCAAGAACCATAATAAAACAGGCTCGCTACACTGTGCTTTCTACTACCCCATTTGTCTAAAAATGGCTCTGTTGCCTTTTGTTCCTCCACAAAGCCAGCAGCCACAATGGGGGTGTTGCAGGGAATCCCAATAAAGTGGGAAGATGACAGAACATGTCCATAATAGTGAAGTCCAGTGGTCCATTTTCAGTTGAGGTGCAGGCAGAAGGGGTGGCCATTTTGGGCATTTTAGCAGGAGTGGGATGTCCCCACCCTCAGGCTCTACTACACATTAGAGCTTTGATGCCCTATGTGGTCGATGTAGCAGTCTGTACAACACAATACAAAACCCCAGAGTAAGTATACATCATAATGCTTGCAATGGTAAGCACTCATTGGGCAGCGCAGCCACATGACCAAGTCTTAGACTTCTTCTTATGGTAAGGTGTCCCAGAATAAAGAAGTGCTCCTCATTGGTTAGTGCAGTCACACTGACCAATAAGTGCTTGCCATTGTGAGCATTATGATGGATACTTACTACGGAGCCTTGTATTGCAGTGTATGAACCACAACTCCGGCAACATGGCTAATAAGTACAGCAGGATCTAGAGAGGAGGCCAAGATATTGGAAGTTAATTCACCTTTTCATATTTTGGGAAAAGATGAATAACACTTTAAAAAGGAGAATTCCACCCCTGTCTAGAGGCTGATTGAAGTAAGCTGCTCCCTAATTCATTCTGCCCTTCTATTATAAAGCCAGATAGGTAGAGTGGACAGGAAAGATAGGGTGTTGTACCATCTCATGTCAAATGCAATTTTTCACTACATACCATGCATTCCATGTTCCAATGTTTCTCCACAGGCCGGTTTTTGCCAACCTGTCGGTGTGGACTGATGAAACCTACTGCTGGTTTGTCAAAGGTGAGTGTTCTTCCACTGACTGAATTGTTACTTTTTCATGAATCTTCAGTCATATTTATAAAAAGAATGATTCGTATATAATATTCTTCTCCAGCACGTCTGAACACATTTGAGAAAAGTCTGGCAGACGAGGCTCTGGATCTCTATCGCACCTCAGAGTTCTGCACCCAACCTGAGCGATGTGTGGAGAAGACCTACATGACAATGGTGTCTGACCTGAGAGCCTCATGTCCCAACAATGAGCTGGCCAAACAAGCAGCAGGTACTTGTATACCTTACCTCTGGAAATTCCATTACATCTCTGTTTACAAAAGATACAAAAAAAAAAAAAAAAATACAACTAATGCAGGCCAGTACTTTGCCCATACATTTTTTTTTTCACTGATGTGTCTCATTTGGAGAGTTTCCCCCACATCCTGTCCTGGTAGTAAATTGTCACATCGACAGGAAGCGAGTGAACATCTTCCAAACCAAGCCTCATATAGCAAAGGAATGATGCCAAATTGCTAAAGGAACAATTATACCATTGTATGCAGATGAAAAAAGTAAAACAGGAATTTTCTTTTCATAGAATTGATACACAAAGTGAATATTAACACAATTTATTTGTGAAGATGCTCAGCTCCTTTAGTAAATCAGCCTTGATGTGTATCTACCCCAAAAAAGGAGATATATATATATATATATATATATATATATATATAAATAAAATCTATATGAATCTACCCCACAACAAAAACTACTCCATCTAGTATTTTGTATGACCTCCATGATTTGTAAGGACTGCACTAAGTCTTCTAGGAATGGATTGAACAAGTTGGCAACATATTGCAACATCTATCTTTTTCAATTCTTCATGAACGACCTCTTTTACAGCTTGAATGCTGGATGGAGAGTGATGCTCAACTTGTCACTTCAGAATTCCCCATAGGTGTTCAATTGGGTTCAGATCAGGAGAATACTTGGCCACTGAATCACTTTCACCCTGTTCTTCCTCAGAAATACAACAGTGGCCTTAGATGTGTGTTTTGGATCATTGTCATGCTGTTAAAGTGCACGACGACCAAGGTCACGGAGTGATGGTAGCATCTTCTCTTTCAATATAGAGCAGTACATGTAAATTCATGATACCATCAATGCAATGCAGCTCCCTGACACCAGAAGCACTTATGCAGCCCCACAGAAGGACACTGCCACCATCATGTTTCACTGTAGGCACCATGCATTTTTCTTTGTGCTCCTCACTTTTGCGTCATCATACAGTATTGAAAAAAACTGTCCCAAAAACATTTATCCTGGTCTCATCAC